CCGAGGTGCAAACTTGTCCCCTGGGACCCGGCCCCAGTACACTCGGGTCTGTGGAACAGCATCTGCCTCCGCAAATAAATATCCTGCGCCTCCAGCGGGACCTGGCTCTGGGTGTGAAATGCTATTTGGTTTAGGGCTAGAGCAGGCCAGGGCTTGGGGAACCGGAGCATTAAAACCCGACGAAAATGATGGCGAGTGTTCGAAGGGTCTTGTTTCACGCCAGTGACACCAGAGAGGGTCATTTCTCATCACTCATGTTCGAACACCAAAGCTCATGGGTGGCATTAGGGAAATTTCAGGAGAGCCACACATCAAAAACTCATTTTTTTTTTAGTACATGTAATAATTAAAACCACGGCTCTACATGCTGGATTTAGTGAAACCCTCCCCTTCAGGCAGGCCTGCACAAGCCAAAACCAAGCTTAAAGCGAGTGGACAGTGACCCTGTAGAAGAAGGGACATTGAAAGTGTTTTTGTTGTACTTGTGGGGCGAGGGGAGGGGAAGGGACCCAGGACTGCATTCTGCTGGGAAGCACGATGACATCCAGGGAAGGAAGGGAACACTCTCAGCCTTCTGGCCTAAATTATCTGCTAACACAAATAATCAAATTCCAGGGACCACACTGCTCTGGCGCCACTAAACCAAGGGGGAGGCCTGGCCCCAGCGCTGCACGAGCAGGTGGCAGCGTCTGACCCGCTCAGGATACTCAAGTGCGACATACGAAATACTGATGCTCTCTAAGGAAGCCAGCATCGCTCACAGTATCGTGGGAAGTTTTTAATGGCTCGCTCAAGGCAAGGCCTCTAAAATGTTTATATTAATACTTACATGTTGGATAGCCACTCATTTGGTCTCAGCTGGAAACCAGTCCAAACAGCTGAGAAACATCTGGCCGCTAACCTTGGACAACATCTAATCTGGTAGCCCAGGGATTTAAGAGGTCTCTTCAGAGGGACAGAAGTTTGGCAGATACCTCACCGAGATCTCTGTTCTGCTGCAGTTGTTTCTCAAGTCCCGCTCACCGCTTCGGGATGACACATACAGCCGGCATACATCCCGATCCCATTTACACAGCATCCGAGTCTCAATGATTGCAAAAAGCTGTAATTAAATATCACTCCTAATTTCCAGGAACGCTGCTGAAGGTGTGTGCCCAGGGGAGAGAAAGCAGCTGTTTGCCAGCGTACAAGGACACGCATCTCTCCATCACCCTGCCCAGCCTGCGTGCGCAGCATCTCTCCATCACCCTGCCCAGCCTGCGTGCGCAGCACCAGTGCCGCCAGCCCTCCGGTCTCCCCTCTGCCCGCACTTGTTACCAACAAATGAGCACGTCTGCCCCAGAGAGCCTCCACAAGGCAAACAAAAATCCTGTTCGCTCTAAATCTGGAGACCAGTATCAGACCAATTATGAACACATGGTTTTAAAGCAGCTCTATGAAAAGAGCGAGTAGAAGGGAAAATGGACTCATCACTTCTGATTAAGATGGCTCAAAAGTTTGCTTCCCTTTTCTTTCCAAAACTCCTGCTCGTTTTTCTTCCAAAAGAAACTTCAGCATTGGTTATCCGGAAACATTCTTTGGTGAGTGGAGAGCTAATGAGATAATACAACATAAAAGAACAAATATTGAGCAATGCAGAGGGGAAAGGAACTTTTAGACCATTTGACATTTATTCTCCCCTCCTATTACCCATTAAGGTACAGCAGGGCTTTCCAGACGTGTCAGGGCAAAGCCACCAACAACCTTGCTCGAGAGGCAGAAAAATAGGACAGGACCCACATGTCTGAAAACCCTTTGCAGGCTTTATTTGAAAGGAGATAAGGCTGAAAAAGCGACAAGATGCTTGGCAGATATAAAATTACGAGAATCTAGCTTATCTCCTTATCTTCCACATCGCCTTCTGCTGTTTGCTTTTTTGTTGCAACAAATGTGGGAGACATCGGGGAAAATGTAAAGGCACAAGCACCAAGGATGTAGTACCAAGAAGGGAAGACTAGGAAGAAGATGCTCAATAAAGGCTAAAAAAGTCTCTTTCCTAGCAGAGGCTGAGCATGCTGGCTCTGGTCCAACAAAGCATTTAAGCATGTGCCTAACTTAAATTTGACTTCACTGGGGCTCTTCACAGGCTTAAAGTTAAGCACTTTCTCCAGCAATCTGCTACAGCAAGACCAGAGAAAACAAGAAGCTATTAAGGGACCTGAATGTTAGTCAACAGCAGGGTTAGCATGCTTTTGGAAAGCACCCTAGCCAAAAATTAATGCAATATGGCCATTTCAACTGACTTAGGAAAACTCTAAGCCATCAGAAAAAGCTTCTTAAATTTAAGTTAATATGTACAAAAATTAGATGTTAGGAATATCACTGTCAAGTTCTCTTCACCTTCTTTCAGCTCTAGGTAGGCAAAGCTTGAAGCAGACGCATTTACAGGTACGTGCAGAACTGGCACTCCCTTGTTTCAGCGTAAGCTGATGCCAGCTTGAAAAAAAATATTGAATTCACTGTGCTGTTTTCTTGATGTAGGAAACACTGTCCTGTAGGTAAAGCACTGACCTCAAACGCCTAATACCAATTCCCACAAACAGCAAGGTAAGCCACAAACAGCTCCTACACTTCTGGCAAGACACTACAAAGGCCGGTATTTGGCAAAGGAGTTAGAGCATGGCCCACCGCGTATCTCTGCTGGTTTGTTTCCCTCGTTAAAGCTGGCATAACTTAACGCTGTTCCTCTATGCAGCATCTGCCTGGCAGTGCCGCAGGGAGCTCCGGTATCACGGCTCCAACGCAGCGCTGAGACAAAGCATTCGGAGCAGCCCATCCCTCGGTCAGACCCTCTGCCCAAGCCCGACGGCACGGCCGCGCTCACCGATGCCTCTCCTGCTCTGTGTCCTTGTGCGACTCTCGGGCAAACCACAGACAGCACCGGCATCTCACAGAGCAGCTGATGGCACTTCTGGGCTTAAAAATTGTCACTCTAATGATAATGGAAGAAACTTAAAATTTAAGTCCAAAGCACTGCAGGAAGTTGTAAGAGTACAGAAAAGGCATATTTAAGCATATACTCCCTACCTGTGCACACAGAGCTTAATTACAACAAAGGAAGAAGCAAACAACAATTAGTCTTTATTAACAATTAAAATCTCACTGCACTGCTGGTTTTCCCCCTAGCAAGTTAATGCCTGTACAGTGAGAAGGTAATGATAAACAGGCTTTTAAAATTGAAATTGATTCAGAATAAATATGAAAAGTGGTTCCCACAAGAGGACTTAACATTCCAGTTGAGCAGCATTTGCACCTTCGGCAGACCCAAGCCTTGTGAAGCCTGCTGGCTCCCTCTACCGTCTTCGCGCTCCGAGCAGAGTCAAAAGCTCGCCCCCCTGGCCGGGAGCACTGGCAGGTGAGGGGTTTTGTTGGAAGCGTCCAGCACATTTGGCACAAACACGGCTGACAGACCCTCTGCAGGACGGGGCAGCCGCACGGCGATCTCCTGCTCAAACCAGTCTCCTCCCTCAGCCACCTCCAGCAGCACCTGCTCCAAGGAACAGCATTTATTTCATGGCCAATCCACTGTAGTTACGATCCCTTGATTTCTATCTCTTAAGAGACACTGGTTCAGGACATAAACTGAGGGTCCGTGGGGATCGACTAGACACGTTGCCTTTACACTGCCAGTTTCCATAAATACAAGACACGGTTTTGTCTTCCCACCTCATTTCTGAAGCATGAACAAGCAACTGGGCGGTGGGATGACTGGTCTCTTCCACTACGTACTTTGCAGGTCACATGCGCCGACAAAGCTACAACACGTAGATTCAACAGCAGCTGACTCTTAGGGCGCTATTTTTCCATACCGCTCCTACTTGGTAGGAAGCGGAACAGCGGTGCCCTGAAGCAGCGATGTGTTCAGAGAGCACAGCTCCTAGGTGGGAACATTTACAGCGAACCCCTTTTTTTGTTAAGCACCACCCAACTTCGTATGGCAAACGTTGTTAACGCATGGCTCTTGCCAGCACAGCTCCCGGCAGAGCAGGGCCTGGGTCAGGGCGGAACGCTCTAACCTGCACAACTTGCAAAGCAAAACAGATGGTTTCGAGGTTTTAAAACTGTTACTTGAAGGACGAAGGTTGGGGGAGGCCCCAAACATGCACCAACCATTTCCTCCTGACCAGGGCAAGGGCACTCTTATTACAACAGCTCTGAAAAACAGAGATAATCAAGCAGCATGCTGTAATTATCAAGCATTGTTCTGATTCCCATTTAACATCTTTAGATACCAAGCTATTTTAAACAAACACACACAGACACGATGCTGACAAAGTATTAGTCGCATTGTCTTCGTAGGTACCTTCTGAGCTACCACAGCACTGAGCAGTGTTCCAGGATAGAAGCCAGCAGCAAATTTCACAAAGTTTCACAAAAGGTCATTCCCTTTTTCACTCCTAACCCAGGAGGAACCTTGTTTCACCACCACGGTGAAGTGAATGCACAACGAATACCTTCTGGCAATCCTCTGGAGTGGAGATGCTTTACACTTGGAAAAGGCCAAAACTTCACAGCCTTGTTTTTATCCAAGTTTGGAGAGAAGGTCAACTTTTTACACCTCACTATTTGAGGGGAAAACAGATAAAATTTCAGGTTGTCAAGTTCTCCCTGAACTTGACAGTGTAACATGCAACTGTACAGGGATTTGATTTCCTCAGGACTACAGCACACGAAGGTCATTGCAATGACAGAGCGCCTTCAGACAGCGCACACAACACGAAATGCATTTCAGTAGTTCCTCAGCATCACATAATTACTAACTGCCAAGTCTACGTGAGTCTGAGGTTTGAACTAAAACTAAAGATTCTCCTTGGCACAGCAGCAGCAGCTGGATAAAGACAATTGCCTTTCGCCACCAGTTTACATACTTAGCTAAATGTGATCTGTTGGAAGATACTTCCAACAAATCAAAAATTCCATAAGGGATCAAAATTCTAAACATAAATACAATTAAAGCCTTCTAATATTAATGCACACTTTTTATTATATTAAAATCAGGCAATGGTCTGATACAATAAAAAGGCTGCTTATGGAATACTGTTATGTTAAAGTTTAATTACAGAGGATGTTAAATCCTTACAACTAATATTTTCCTCAAAAGAGTTAATGGAAACATCAATTGTTCATTGACTTGATAGCTGCTGCTTTCAAATGTGTTTATTTTTACTTTTTTTTCTTTTTTTTTTTTTCCTTTTTTTACACAAACACTGAATTCGTCATAAAACTTAGGACACACTAGGTTGGTTGTATGTAAGCTTGCATCCACATTTCAGCAGTTAGTGGTCCAAAACAGTAAACGAGAAAAGGCAGTGATTTGCCAGGATGCAAAGCCAATAAAGGTCCTTAATCTGCTGTATGCGTCACTTCCCCAAAATCTTCACTGAAGAAATTTCTCTTCCAAGACTTAGAGAATTCTAGTAAAAGCTACTATACTGATTTGTCTGTAGTCGTCACATCTTTAGAAGGGCCAAACATAAGTGCAACATTTAGTAAATTAACATTCTTGGGTCAATTCAAAGCACCAAAATACAACTATTTGAGCCGGAGTGTGTGTTCAGAATCTCTACGTGCAGTTTCCCCATTAAAGTTTGGCAGCAGAAGATTTCGCAATCCTGGTAAATTACTGCTCTTTTCACCACGTCAAAAGCCTATCTAATAACATCAGCCGTGGCCAGCTTGGCGGTGTGGCAGCAGTGCTGGAGGGACAGGGAAAATCCAAGTTTGCGAGCAGAATAGATACTCTTGTTTCCCAGGCTGGTGAAGACTAAATTTGTCTTTGCAAACCCAAAATTACAAGCAGGAGGGAACAGGTCAAGTTATTGCCCCAACGCTTACCCCCGGTGGCCAGGGGTGAGAAGAGTCACAAAGAGGGGCAAAAAGAAAGCAGCACCCCCACTAAAAAGAGGGGAAGAGGGAAGAGATTAAAAGAACCCTGAATCCCTCACCCAAAGCCCATGTCACTGGTGAGGGGGACCAGGAAGAGAAATACAATCTATGCCTTGGCCAAAGGGAAGAAGGAAAGCTTGCCCCAGATTATCAGGGCATTTAAAAAAAAAAAAAAACAAAAAAACCCAAAAACGACCATAGTCACATTCAGCCTTTACTAGAGATAGCACAAAGGGAGGGATGACTGAGGTTAGCACACATCCCCATTAGTAGTCCATAAAGCCCAGTGTAGTACTGGAAGCAAAAACCTTTGTGTCTACTCTAATAAATAGCCCTGAGCTTCGACTCTATTGCAAAAGACAGAAAAAGGAAAAAAAACCCAAAAACCCAGGCCAGACACACAGCAAGGTGATTGTGGGATGTATGCTTTCACAGTTAAGTTAGATGTGCCACACTGGTCTTGACAGTAATAAATTTAAATAGACTTTTCCTGATACCAGAAGTTCAGCTATGTGGACAGTGGTTACACGACAGGATTATTTGTTATAGCACAACTTATATTTCAAATGAAAAAAAATTAGTATCATTTACAGTATCTCAAGAAAAACTTCCTTTGAATGGGAACTTTGTTTCCAGTATTTTGAGGTCTACAAGATGCATCTAGAAAATTTACTACTGTGGAAAATGAAGACAGCTTAAATTGAATAAGGGGGGCATGTTTGTTTTTTGTTTTTTGTTTTTTTTTTTTTAATTAATTGCTGTAACATTGTCCTTCAGGCGGCTGAGGAAGTTTCATATTTTCTTTAGACATCATTAGACGCCGAAGCTCTTGCAGAACAACTTTGATACTATAAGAATTCTGCCATTTTGCTAGGACTGATATGGCTCTGGGGTCCACCTAAAATAAACAAAAACACCATTCCTGTCAGAATCAATACGTTCAATACACTTAACTCCTCCACACCCCCTCCAACTAAAGATCCTGTAAGGAATCTCAGTGGGAGAAACCAAAGAAAGCAAAAGCAAGCAAGTAGTTTCCTAAAAGCATAATAAATCCCTGCATGATGCAACTATTTGGGAGTTGCAAAAGGGCAGGAGAAGTAAATTCCACGTTTTGATTTCAGAACATACTTGGCTCGTATACTTCCCTTCTACCCCCCCTTCTCCTCAAAGCAAATGGCACCAGCAAGCAATTAGTTCAGCAAATTGCAAGTATCAACAAAGCGCTAATGCAAAGCTGCACACAAAAGCCGCATTAAAATGAATAAAAACCGAAAACTTACCACTCCATTAGAACTATTTACTCCATTCATATTAATTTTTGTTACAAATCTTACAAATGGAGGTGCTTCTGGATACTTAGGCCCACATTCTATTTTAAGGCTGTATATTCTGTTTTCATAAATTGTCTGAGGGGAAAAGAAAGGGGGTAACAATTACATCAGGCAGTTCAATAAGCATTTTGTTAAAATGGTGGTTACTTTAGGGACATGTGAACTACTAAACATAAAGGCAGCCGCTTATATACTATACTGGCTACCTCTGGTTTGGTTCATCTTATAGTATTCAGAGTATCAAATGTTACTTCTTCAGGGTAATAAATACTACTGGTCTTTTAAGCATCAGATTTTCATGTAAGGAATGAAACTGGCATTGCTTCCCATTCACCAACTGATATGATTTTTTAAATCATCATATAACTCAGATATCTACTTTTCAACCAATCTTTATAAAGCAGCTTTGTTTTATCAGTTTACTAATCAGATGCAGTACCTTGAAATTGGAGCCACAGCTTTAGCTTAGGCAACTAAAGTCAGCCTGTCCTAGAACTGCACTTAAAAAATATTCTTTGGTCATAAACCAGTGTGCCAGTTCTCAGAAAGGGGAACGCTCCAAGATTGAACACATTGCAAAGTACATCCTGATCCCAAACACCATTATCGTTGTCTCCACAGCAGTAAAACTGTTGTACTTAACAGCTAATAGAGAGAAATCCTGGATCATGAATTTGTAGCTACCCAATCAACGGGTATAGAAGAGAGACAAATGTAACAAGGCTACATTGATTCCTCCATATTTAAAATTAATTAAAAGAAACAGCAGTCAATGCTATTCTGCATTCTGAGAATAACTATTTTCCAAGTGCTGATCTGGTGCAGCGTGGCACAGAGCTCTAGCTAAGCTGGGCAATGCAGGCAGCCGGGATTGTCATTGGGAAGTTTAGGCACACAAGCTCTCCAGATTCAGAGCTTCTGACACAATTTCCTGCACCTTCAACATTGCAATGAACATTAAAGTCACAAGGCAGCAACCATGATCAAAAATCCAGGTGAATGTGTGAGTGCAGAAACCCAGAAGCAGCCAAGAGCTCCTGCTCCCCCGTGGCTCCATCAGGATCTTAAGAACGGTTGCACAGCATACAAAAACGTCCCAATAAAAAACTCCGTGCAATCCCTTTCAAGGGCCTGTTACGCCCCTGAACACGTTAATGTTTCCCTTAAGTAGCGTTTTGATGCAAACTGCTACCAAAAATATAAGAACTGACTTCCTGATTCAGCTGCTTCTCATCTGTGCAAATGAAGTGGCTTTAAAGCAGCCTGCAGCCACCTGCGGCGG